TATATATATATATATTCTTCTCTATATATATATATATATATATATATATATATAAGCTGCATGTGAGGCTTTTTTATAGAAAGGAGTTTTTTTTTTGACTCAGTGTGGAAACAAAAATTAAGAAACTGCAGCAGTACAAATAAGAAATTAATTAAATGCTTTGTGTTGAATATTGATGTTATTAAATATAAATACGCTGATATTGGGGGGAAAATTTAACTAGAAGATGATATAAGTTAATACGGATTAATTAAAATAAATTTAAGTTACCTGTACTCAAGTTCCTTCCAATTCGTCAAAATCAACGTGAATACACTTGTTACAGGCGAGCAACTCTCGCTTGCTATCATATTTTTTGAAATAACTGCACTATGATTATTTTCTTCTTCTGACAAACTGAAAATACAAGCTCTGAAAATCTGTACAAACATATGAAGTTTATTATTTCTTGAAATTAGTGATTTCCAATAGGCCTTCCGAAATAGCTTTTTCACAAACTTTAAACTGTTAAGTGTTAAATGTTTGAGGTAGAGAGGTGCATTTAGCTTATCTTCACTACGTTAATCTTGTAAATTATTTTCAAAAATATTTGAAATTTTTTGCTCTTTGCAATTTTACCAGCATCATCTTAAATCTTAATCCCATATTTTAAACGAAATTCTGCATAAAATCACAAACTGATAAAAATGTTGTTGATCCAGGTTTTCCATTTTCTTTTTACCACATCGCACCGAGCCTTTCTGATGCCTTTTAAAATCAGCATAGTATTTTTTGTTACTTGCTTTGTTCAATGATTCAGTAACTCGCTGTAGAAAATTAACGAGGTGAATGGGACATATTGAAGCAAAGAAACGAAGTCAGAAAAGAAAAAGTTGATAATGGAGAGGAATTAGGAAATCAAATTCAGAATTTTCTAAAATGGTCATTATTCAGAATCCATTTTATCTGTCCTTTCTCCCTGATACCTTCAATTTTTTATCATAAAGTCATTGTTCGTTTCGCTGCTGTTATCTTGGTTTTATTTTGATTTTAATGAAAGAAGTAAGATATCTAAGCAATGGGAGCACTTCGTCTCCCGTGTATTCGTTTGTGTTCATAATCTTTCCCCAATTCTTTTTGTGTTTTGCCTGTAACTATAACTTTCCTGTTTCATCTCCTAGATGAAATCTTCGTCCATCTGATTGCACAACAACCAATCTTTGTCTGTTTTGTTACTTACTTGTCCACCATCAGATTTGGCATGTCCTCCTTTATTTTACCATTACCTCACGTTTCCTTATCGGTCCATTCTTTCGTTACGTGGAAAACCTAATTTAATATGATAGCCTCTGTACTTTTGTTCTGCTGATCTAAGCTGATTGAAATTTGGCACCTTTATATCTTGCTCATCATCCATCCTTACCGCTGGTACTGCTCATACTTTCTTTCTTTCAGTCTGCCTTTAAACTTCCTCAGTCCCATGTAAAAGAAAACTGAAATACTTAGTTGAAATGAAACATCGGTCACGTATATCAATCCTTAATATCTCTCCGATGCATTTGTTTCTGAAATCCTCCAGCCGACGACTCGTTTCAAAATAGCAATCCACAACAACATTATTTGTCTTCATCTGCGAGCAATAAGCAACGTTGTGAACTGTCCCAAACGATAAGATTTAAATCCCTCTTTTCGTAACTTCCTCCAGAGAAATTTTTAAGAACAAATCCCACCCACTCATTCAACTGGATAAAAGACCATCTAAATACAATTTCAGGCACTTTTTTGGTATATTTGGTTGACATCTTTGTCTAAGTTCTTCGGAACAATCAACTCGATATGAGACATCCTCATGTCTTCCCGAAGTAAACTCCTGGTATTGCTAGACATTGGCATTTCCCAACACTTGGTATTCAACCACTCACTGCATCCATCATCGCGAAAAAGTAGCTCCAGCAATGAAAATCAAAACGGCAAAAGGGATCGTTCACACGAACCACTAGATTCTTCAGGTTGTCGTTTCAAAAGCATTGGTCGAGTTCACTCCCAAACCTCA